TTTCGGTTTGGTTTCAGGTACGGACATCCCATTTAGAATTAACAATGAGTTTTTAGCTCCGCCACATTCACATTGGGGACAAGGCTCGTTTAACAATGACGTTTTTCCATACCAAAGCTATCAACAGCAACCGAAGGGTGGAATAATAAACGATATCGAGAGCCATTTGATGGGAGAGCCTTCCTCAGATGAAGGAACCTTGGGCACAATTGACGTGACTTACGATGCAGCAAATTTATCGGCAACTAATTACCAAGGTAATAATAGTGATGAGTTGGTTCATTACGTGAGGTATAATATGGATAGTGGCATGATAGACGGAGAGTATCGGGAGATGAGCTTCAACTGGATGCCAGCTGGACGGCCGGATGAGCAAATGGGGAATGATGATAATTCTTCGCTTCCACCGTTTGTTTTTCCTGATCCTGACGATGATGACCCGAGTGACGACCATATTTTTTAACTTTGTCAGGGATCAAATGGTTATTTTGTGCATATGAATGATTTATGTAAAATTCAACTCTTGATTTGTGGACCTTCCTTTTGTCATTTACAGTGTTGGCATGAATAATTCAGAAAAACACTTTTTTCTGCAATGTGTTTGAGAAAGCTTTTGAATTTAATTTTTGTTCTCTATAGAGTATCACCACTAGGTTATGATCACTAAATATTTTATTTGTGCTACAGGTAAAACTCAACTTCAATCCCAGGTCCCCCAGCGTTAATTTNAATTTTCGAACAATTTTAATTTTTAATAGTCATGTGAGAGAGAAAATAAAACAAACATTTTATTTGGTACCTTATTATAATTTAATTGGAATTACACTATTTCCAAAAGTAACAAAACTAGTCAATTAATATTAGTTAGTAAAGAATTGAAACCAGTGGCGATCTAAACAGCAATGAACGGCCGCCCACCATTTCCAAAACTACCAAAGACCACCAACGGGAACTCACATCACAGATCTCAACTCTTATTAGTATCTACCATTATATATACACACGCGTTAACATACAGATATCTATAACAGCTGATCACGCTGTAGTTGATCTGAAATCTTTGAGTACTTTTACGCAAGCAATCGTTAGGAAAAAAAAAAAAAAATGTCGGGGAAATTAGGTCGAAAGATTTTGGTTGCAATCGATGAAGGCGATGAGAGCGCTTATGCACTGTCATGGTCTCTCAAGAATTTGCTCACGGACAATTGTAATTACGAAAATACCCTCATCCTCCTCTATGCCAAGCAACCCTCAGCTGTCGCCTACATGCCCATGGATTCCGCTGGTAATAGTTATTATTATTGCTCAATTTTTCAATTATAAAACAATTGGTATGGTAATTTTAGTGCTCAATTCACAGGCTACATGTCGTCTTCTAGCATAATTTCTACCATGGAGAGGTACAGCAACCAGGTGGCTCAGACAGTTTTGGAGAGAGCTAAAAGAATTTGCGATGAACTTAATCCTCAAGTAATTAATTGATCCCTTTTTTTGCACTTTAGTGTTGGTTTTGATTATTTCATTGGGTATATGAATTAGATAGGGAAACTGAAAAAAAGTACATATGTATTTTGACAAATTATTTCAATTTGTGAGGTGAGGAGGGTAATAACGTCATTTGAAAATGTTATGGCGTAGGTGAAGGTGGAGACGATGGTGGAGTACGGTGACCCAAGGGATGTGATATGTGAGGCGGCGGACAAATTGAAGGTTGACTTTTTGATTATGGGAAGCCGTGGCTATGGTGTTATTAAGAGGTGCCTCATTCTTCATTTTCCTTTGTTTTGAGTTGATTTTTTCATTTGTTCACCACTTTTTGAATGGCAGCTAATATATTTTGTTTTGAATGGCAGGGCATTGCTTGGAAGTGTGAGTACCCACTGCGCTCACAACGTGAACTGCCCAGTTATGATTGTGAAGAAGCCAATTAAGCCCTAATCATGTGTGTTTGTAAACATTTCACTATTTTGAGATCTTTGCTTATGTGTTTGATTGTAAACATTTCACTACTTCGAGATTTGACTGGAAAGTTTGTCACTTGTTTAACACTATAGATTTGTAATCCAACTTTCTCTATTAATTTTCCACACACACACACAAGTAAATGATCAAGTGCATGGGTTGCTCTGTATTTATTATTCACTTCATGTGGGAGGTGTATTGTTGGTCTTGTTTGAGTTGGCTAAATTATTAGTGATGTAAACTTGAGTACTTGTTAAACCTTGCAACTTTTGATTATGGTAATTCAGAATAGGACCATATCCGTGTGTATTTATATAATATTGGCTGTCATATTTTGGTATGTAATCTCACACCATCATTGTTTTCTGCTGAATAGTTTCTTGATTACATGAAATTCTCGTGTTTGTGAGTTCAAGTGTATCAATATCAGTAATGTAAATTTGTACCTGATGCAACGTTTCATTAGGTAATCTGAGTAGGCCTTGTTTTTGGATTATTGTTTAGCTTAGGCTCAACGTTGAGCCAGAATTATTGACTGTCTTATCTTATTTTTCAATATTCTATAAAAGCATGGAAATTAATTTTTCTTCTCATTTACTATTCAACATCTCCCTATTACTACTTACCGCCCATTTTTGGATAATTTTGTCCCTGACATTTTTTTTCCAAAAAGTACAAAAAAAAAAAAAAAAAAAAAAAAAAAAAAAAAAAAAAAACTGTCCGGCCATCGAAACCGGACGGCTTTTAGCCTGTTCGACCGCCGGAATTGGACGGTTCAAAAGGCATGTCGGCCGTCCAGAAAGTTCGTCCGGTCGGACGGGGTATGTCTGAACCGGCAGGCCGAACGCCTTAAAAGCCATTCGGCGGCGACGACCGGTCGAAACGAGTTTTTTTTAACAAAACCAGGCAGTAAGTTCACATTAAATATTTGACCTGTTTATTTCATCTTAATATGCTCAAATGAGTTTGTGATCTTCATGAAAGTTATAGGTCTATTTCTAAGCTTTCTGATGAGGTAAAATTCATGCAGATATGATGACTGTAGCTCAGTTTGTGTTAAATTGAAGTAGGATCTGCATGAAGTGAGTTTATACTTTTGGGCAGAAACTGACTCGTAATTTATTTTGTCCTTCTTGATGACAATATCTGCTTTAGTGTTCTAAATGAAAGTTGTATGGATGCCTCTTAGGTTTCTAAGAAGGTAAGTATCATGTCTATATGATAAGTGCAGAATGAGATGTGATTTATATAAAAATGTTGTGCAAGCAGTTTTTCTGAAAACCGGGCTATGTATATGATGTTGATGTTTGGTCTGAAAGTGATATTCTAACATGCTCAAATGTGAAATTGGTCTTCATAACAATTGTTGATATGCTTCTTGGCTGTCCATAGGGTTTTGAATCATGTCATTTAGAGGTCTGTAGCATAAATTAGGTAATCAAAACCAAGATGCTGTATGTAAACCGAATCAAATTCTGACAGATTTTATGACTTAAGTGTTTTGTGATTAAAACCGTTGATAATGTCTTTATTTGCCAATGTGGTATTAAGAAAAGTTGTAGATAATTGAGTTATCTATATGTTGGTTTTTGAAGCTCCTTAATATCATGTCTGTAGCTTTATATATATTGAAAATACTGAGGTCCTGTCAGTCGTATGTTTCCAGATTTTTAACGACAACTCTGTTTCAAATGTTTGATGATTAATGACCTGCTAAATGCCATTATTTGCTTCTGAGGTTTTCAGAAAAGTTGTAGAGGCATGTCTTAGGTTTTATACGCAACTGGATTCGTGTTAATATGAATTATGTGCTGCAAATGGTGTCGATTTGAAAATTGCTGCGCGAGTTATGTTTTGAAAATTTATGTGGTGTTTTCGAAAATAAAATCTGTCTTTTTTTTTCAAATTATTTTTAGTATTAGGTTTATATTTAAAAGTATAATATAATTTTTTTTCAATTAGTTTAACAAAAAATGGTGTATTTTATTGAATAATGAAATTTAGTATTTAATACTATTAGCTACATTTTGATAAAATTAAATAAAAAAATATATTAAAAAAAAAATTATATTGACTATTAAATATAAACCTAATACTAAAAATAATTTGAAAAAAAAGTAGCACGTGCATCTTCCTAGTCACATGAAAAACCACACATATTAAAACTACCTATCAATATTTTGAGCTTATTAATACTCCTTAATCATATATCTATTCAAGTCTTCAAATATGATACATTTCATTTTGATAAAACAAATATAAAAAAAAACTTAAATTACTTTGCTTCATAATTAGGCTGTTAAATTCTAGTTGTAGTAACATGTATTCTTTATTTTCAGGATGCCGGTGAAGTTACCTATGTTGATGAGGATGATGTTTGCTTTTATATCTTGTGTGCTTGTGATTATCGCAATTCGGTTGGAGGTGATGATCCTAAAGAAATCCAAGCAAATCATGCCATCCTTATTGAATGTGCTTATCATCTTGATCCCTGCCTAATGATTCTACCGATGGTGGCCGCAATTTGTAAGAATTGGACGCATTTGCCAAATTTTTTTGTGCGTTTGATATAGATTCGTGGATGTTAGCGGTTGTGTTGGTAAGTGTAGATGTGACGAGTTGGATGGAGGCAGCCTTCATCATTATTTGCCACCATAGCCTACTATTCATGATAAATACCTCTTTCGAGTTTTTGATCAGCAAGTATGAGCTACACAGTTTTTCGGGTTGACAACAATCATAATAGAAGTGGTCAAGAATCATGTCTAGAATCAATTGGGTGTTGTAATGAAAGTTTCATGTATTGTCTTGATTGTGCTGCAACAGGTTTACCTTCAGTTCTCGCACAGAAAGGTGGTTGACTGGTTAGTAGTGAGACTTAATGATGTCGAGCGTTAGCACATGATCGGCTCCAGACTTTAGTGTGATTGTTATATTATTTATTTTTAGTATTTATGTGTCTATTTATTTATGTTGTGTATTGGGCTTGTTTAATATTGGGCTTTATCTATGTATTAGGATTGGATATCTAATTAACTGTAGGAACTTGTGGGAAGACAGTTATGATATTCATATTATTCGAATGAAAGTTGTGTTCTCTGACATATTGAAAAAAAATATTTTTATTATTTAATATAAACCTAATACTAAAAATAAATTGAAAAAAAAAACAAACACGTGCGCAGCACGTGCATCTTCCTGTTCACATGAAAATCCACACGTATTAAAACTACCTATCTATATTTTGAGCTTATTAATACTCATTAATCATATATCTATTCAAGTCTTCAAATATGATACATTTCAATTTGATAAAACAATTATAAAAAAAAAACTTAAATTATTTTGCTTCATAATTAGGCTGCTGAATTCTAAATGTAGTAACATGCATTCTTTATTTTCACGATGCCGGTGAAATTACCTATGTTGACGAGGATGATGGTAGCTTTTATATCTTGTGTGCTTATGATTATCGCAATCCGATTGGAGGTGATGATCCAGAAAAAATCCAAGCAAATCATGTCATCCTTATTGAATGTTCTTATCATCTTGATCCCCTGCCTAATGATTCTACCGATGGTGGCCGCAATGTGTAAGAATTGGATGCATTTGCCAAATTTTTTTGTGCGTTTGATATAGATTCGTGGATGTTAGCGATTGTGTTGGTAAGTGTAGATGTGATGAGTTGGATGGAGGCAGCCTTCGTCATTATTTGCCACCATAGCCTACTATTCATGATAAATGCCTCTTTCGGGTTTTTGATCAGCAAGTATGAGCTACACATTTTTTTTGGGTTGACAGCAATCATAATGGAAGTGGTCAAGAATCAATTGGGTGTTGTATTGGAAGGTACATGTATTGTCTTGATTGTGCTTCAACAGGTTTACCTTCAGTTCTCGCACAGAAAGGTGCTTGACTAGTTGGTAGTGAGACTTATTGATGTCGAGCGTTAGCACATGATCGGCTCCGGAATTCAGTGTGATTGTTATATTATTTATTTCAACTTTAGGTTTACATCAAAATGATAAAATCTATACACAATCAAATACAGATCTACAGTTCTTCAAAATTTGGTTGAGCAAGTTCTGCATTTTTTAAACTAGGAAGATGCACGTGCTACGCACGTAACATTTTTTTCCTTTAGTATTAGTGTAATGCCCGTTCGAATATTAGATTTTTCCGAGTTTATTTTAATTAATAACATTTTATTTTATTATTTACAAGCCTTGATTATGTGGCAATATATTATATTATCATGTGGATAATATAATTATATAGCTCGTTCTATTTTATTTTATCGATCGTCGTTTGAATTTTCGGTTTAATCGCATAAGCCGATTTGTTGTTCGTTTTAATTCATTTTCTAACCCTAGCCTATTCATGGTCTTAGCCATGGTTCATGCATGTGATTAAGAGCTTATTAAGTATTTTCTAAGCCTAAGTAAGTCTTAGAAGCATTAACAATAGTCAAAGCTCTTGTAGCTTCACTTTGCACAACTTATTGTCTGGGGTAATAAGCACCGAACCACTCACATTTCTCAAGCCAATGGCGCAAACCATGAGTTCTTTCTCTCAAGACCCATAACATGCGAGTGATATCAGGTGAATTAAGGATCATTTGAGCCAAGTTAGTCCATGTGATGAATTAAGGAAAGTCAATTAGCATGAGAATCAAAGATGCATGTGCTTAGTTATTATTATAATGACAAGATGTGAAGAATTTGTCTTATTTCACCTAAGATTTGACCAATGCATGTTCCTATATCATGTGAGGCCAGACAAGGATCATTAGTTTTAGCTAATACCAGATAATGACAAGAGAATTGGTCCCAATCCACCTAAGTCAACTCTAAGACACCTCATGCAAATGAGAGAGATTCAACCACCGAGTTTACTATCATTTCTTCATGTTATGTTAAGCCATATTATATGTCGCACTTCCCATATGAGTATAGAACATATTTAGACTTAAAAACACGAGCATACCTTGGATAAAAAGATAGAAAATTCGAGAGCAAATAGGCACGGATGGAGAAGGATTCGAACTACAGCTTGTTCTAGTCATTTTTCGTTGAGGTATGTCCAAACCAAAGTGTTCCTTGGATCATTAGAATTCAAGTGAGCTTTGGAATTTTGAAAATTCGATTTGAAACGAGTGAGTTATGATTTTTACAAAATTATCGCGCAAACAGTTTTTTTCTAACAAAACTAGGCAGCAAGTTCACATCAAATGTTTGACCTGTTTATTTCGTCTTAATGTACTCAAATGAGTTTGTGATCTGCATGAAATTTATAGGTCTATTTCTAAGCTTTCTGATGAGGTAAAATTCATGCTGATATGATGACTGTAGCTTGGTTGTGTTAAATTGAAGTAGGATCTGCATGAAGTGAGTTTATACTTTTTGGCAGAAACTGACTCGTAATTTATTTTGCCCTTCTTAATGACCTTATCTACTTTAGTATTCTAAATGAAAGTTGTAGGGATGTCTATTAGGTTTCTAAGAAGGTAAGTATCATGTCTATATGATAAGTGTAGAATGAGATCTGATTTATATAAAAATGTTGTGCAAGCAGTTTTTCTGAAAACTGGGTTGTGCATAGGATGTTGATGTGTGGTATGAAAGTAATATTCTAACATGCTCAAATGTAAAATTGGTCTTCATAAAAATTGTTGTTATGCTTCTTGGCTGTCCATAGG